AAAAAGAAAAATTATGAATCGGTACACACACACACACACACTGACGCACACACACACACACACACACACACACACACACACACACACACACAGTTTGTTCATATTCCACCAAATTTACTACGAGCACACTTGATGGACTCCTTTGTGTGTAACATTCAAACCTGCACTAATCATTTTTGTGGCAACAATGAAGATTCATTATATTTGTTATAGCATAAACATCTCTGCAGCTTTTTAACTTATCAAGATACTGAATGGATAGTGTAATATTAAACAGCTACAAACAAGTACCTGTTAAAAGATCGTAAACAAGATAACCTAAAGGGAAAGTGATTATTTGAAATAATATGTATCAGGGCAAAAAAAGAAAGTGTACTTTGAATGCTAATGTCCTTAAATTATTTATATTTATATTTTATTAGTAGCCATAACTTTGTAGGCTTACTATATTTGACAGCTTATTATACTGCCCCCCAGTGGCCAAAAACCAATTAATATAGTCATAACTGTAATAAAAAAAATGGTTTAGAGTGACGCAGGGTTAGGGAAGTCATTTCAACACAAGTGACTTTCAACATGAGTACCTTTTCATAAAAACAAATTGCCACAACACATTGTGGCAATTTGTTTTCCTGAAAATATGCTGACTGCCAGCATTGTCACTGACACTTATCATAAAACAATCTCAAGACTGAATTGCAATTGTGGCTCTGGGGACTTCACTGCTGAACTGTTGCACATTCACTCTGGCCCACTTTCACGATAAGCTCACACTGCTCGTCTGTTTTGCAACCAATTTCAAATTCATATTTTTATTCTCTTGATGATTTATCTGAAGATTTGGAAGTTCCTGAATTTCATGTTTTGAATGCTCACACAGGACTTTTTAGTCTTACACCTTTTTCAAGACATGAAAAGTTAAATATGAACCAAGAACTTCTATTTGTAGACTTATCAGACTGTAAAATACTACATGAAATGTTGTAAATTACTGTACTGGCTATATTAATGATCAGCTCTACCTTAATATATGGATGAATCTCATATATCAAACATGAGATTCTAAAGTACTGTAATCTGGTATACACCCATCGACAACAAAATTAAGACCAGAGGCTTTCAGGGTGTCTTGTGTTGTTGGGCACTGGGACATTAGCACTATAACCTCTGGTTCCTGTTGGTTGCAGGGTGGGCCTTCTTGACAAGACTGCTCTTATAGATGCTCGATTATACTGGGTTCTAGAAAGTTTAAAAGCAGGGTAGCACTTTGGACTCTGTCGGTTTCTGCAGTTTAAACTGTGGTGAGGCAGACTATGCTGCAGGAGGAGGATGCTGCTTTTCGTGAGTGTTGATTCCCAGTTGGGGGTGCTCAAGAACAATATTTAAGTGGGTGGTAAGTGTCAAAGTAACATCCAAATGAATGCCAGGAACTGTGTTTTCCCAGCAAATTTCTGACGAGAGCAGCAATGTTATTTACCTCACAAATCAGTGCTTTTAATGTTGTTGCTGGTCGGTATATAAGCACGCAATATACATGGCTGCAGGTCTGTCGCGTCACAATCTGTGCTGCCAAAGCTGTAAAGTTGCCCCTATGCTTAATCTGAGTGATGGAGTACCCTTTACATCTCAACATTTCTTTGGAGGACGTTTAGTCTGCTCAGTTACCGTGTCACCTTAAAATGAAAAGAGGAGGCAGATGTTTTGTTTCCCCAACTGTGCTATTGCAAATAGGAATACAGCTTTTGACAGGACACCTACCCACACACTCATTTAGTGTGATTTGTCGTGCAACAGTTCTCTGAACAAGGAAAGGGAGTCCTGAGCCACTTCCTGAAGTGCAGGAATGATCTAGCAAATCCTGGGAAAGAGAAAAAAAAATTAAATTGAGAAAAAGAGCTTATGAATTTATTTGTGCGTCTGTGGATAAATTTGCATGTGATCTATATGAATGAAAAGCTCAGTCCCAAAAGAATCCTGTGGCTCAAGCCTAAAAATGGTGAAATATGGAGCATCTGGGACTCCGATGGAGATTAATAACAAGCAGGCTGTCTTTGATGTGGCACCCACATGGGATGGAGGGGGCCAAGCTGTGTGTACCAAGATAATGTGTGTGGGTGGGTGTGTGTGTGTTTCTGTGCTAGTGTTGCAGAGTGCCCCCTGCTGAGTAAATAACAGAAGTACCACCCCCTCCCTGGTGACTGGTGTGGGTGCTGAAGATTTTATCTAATCCAAGGGCCAGACTCCAAAACAGGCGCAATGCTGCTAAGCCTTTTATTTTTATCTCATCTGCAAGACGTGCAGCATCCCAGCGCTAACACAGGAGGGCAGTGCACAGCAACATAGTCAGCAGCAGCTGAGCAAAACAAATGACTAACTAGGAGGGGAGAATGAGGATTGAAAATAGAGGGGAGTGATGCCTCAGATAAACAAATGCATAATGCAAGAGCTGCCTGAGAGACAATTTGGAATCACAACACAGGAATGCAAGGCAGAGGCCGTAAAATGAATGATGAGTTGCTCTGTAGAGAGTTTAAACCCCTCTCTTTGGTGCAGGAGGATTGTTTTTAGGAGTGCATCTTTGGGCCGGGCTGTTAAGCAGCAGAATGTGATCAGTACGTTGCAATATCATTAGAACCAGAGAGCAAGTCTAGGCAGCAGCTACCGAGGGACAAACACTTTTCACAAGCATGCCATTGTTCATAATAATCTTTCTCGTGGTGCTGCAAAAATAAATCAGATAATCTGGAATTTCAAAAGTTTAGACCACAAGTTTAGACATGTTTATCAAAAGAGAACAACTCTTGAAAGATTACTGAATGGTAAAACGCACGGTAACAACCAAGTATTTTGTTAAGGCACCAATTGGACTCAGTTTATGCTGAACATGATTACACAGTGTGTGAGCCAATGAATGTGCTGGGTTGTCTTTCAGACTAAATGCTAACCACAGGACTCCACCTAAATTCTGGATTAGTTTAGCGGGCTTCAAAACCGCAGAAAACTCACAATCCATGCATGAGTGGAGAGAAAAGAAATAGCAAAAGACATTCCCTCTAACCGACTGGGGGAAAAAAACTGGGAGGAGCAATGGCACCACCCACACATTCAGCCACAAAATTCATACATATGCATCTAGTGTACAACTGCTTTAACTTTTCTTTCCTCGAGAACAAACGGTTCTTAAAAGTAAGAAAGAAAGTCCAGAGCAACAGTCTGCACAGTTCAATTTAACCATATCCGGAGACTGATCTAGCTCAAATCGACCCAAACAGCCAGTAAACCAAGGCTGGGATGACACACACTTGCAGACATGCATGCTGACAGCTGCGGACACCACAGATGAGTAGTTGTCCTCACTTTTTGCATGTCCACTAGACATCCGCACAGAGGATTACTCCTGCTCTATGATAAGGAACTTAACACCACTCTTGCATACTTAAAGCGGAAACTACATAAGGCTATGTTTAGACACTATCAAGCTATAATTTCATTCAAATTACTAAAAACATGAGTACTTTTTTATCAAATGGCAAACATGGGAGTTTTACAGGTTTAACTCATGGCAGGAGAAGGAGACTATAATTGCAGTGCCATCGCATCACGGCTTAATCACAAGATTGAATTCTGTTTATGAAGCTGATGCAACTCTTTTATCCTGTAAATAGTGGAAATGCGTACAAAGAGAAGGTAAAAGTCCCCACTAATCCAACAGTGTTTAAAAATCATCACAGGAACCCCTCAAGGTAATACAACACATAATTAGAGGATAGGAATCACACATCTCTGTTATTGGATCTCTGTTACAGTGCAAGTCTGCAGTAGAAACTGTGCATCATACCTGGCATCATACAAAGGGAAAGTAATGGGTGCAAATAAAAGACTGGAATTTGATTAGGCTTTATATCAAACAAACTAGTGCATTATACTATTCCTTGAGCTGCTAATAAAATTGGTTTTTCAGGTGCGTTATGAAGGTAGCCACCTTTGTGCCATCGACTACTCACCGCTAGAGTGCTCTCCCCCACATTAGAAGCTATAAGGCCATCAATAGTTCCATATTCAGCATCTCGGGAGGTTAGCCTCTCCATTTGGTTGTGGTGGATCCGTCTGAACACCAGGATAGCGACAGCAGAGAGGATGATGAGGACAATGATGGGTGCCACGATGACAACAGCTAGTGTGGTCACACTGTAGCTGGATTGCTCATCAGCTGTTAAGGGGACAGAAAAAATTTACATCCCGTTAGATGGTTTTAGAACATAATCAAATTAAATCTAGCTTCTCTTTTCTTTTTTTTTTAAATCTAGAGTTTGTATCGGTCGCTTGCAGTAAATGACACTGGAGAGTGTTCATTGAGCGTCAGGATCAGACACAATGAGGGAGCGGTCTTGGACCACACAGGTTGAGGATTCAACCATACACAAAACAGAGGATTGCAGCACTCTGCAGGCTTCCTGAAGAAACAAGTCGGGGTGGGTGTGAAGGTGCATAAAAGAATATCCACAGACAAGAGTGTTCACTCATATGCACACATAGTAGAGCTCATCAAGTCAGCAGAGGCCATCCTGAGGAACTGACCACCATTCACACTTTCCAAACATTCCAAGGAAAAAGACTGCTCGGCTCTGCTTCCAGCACTGACAATGATCCCCTTTTCTCAACTTGCATAATGAACTCCTTCTTCCAAATACACATAACTAGCAACACTTTCTAGGGGCTCACTATATTTGAATCAAACACACATGGCGAAATGCATTCAGCTGCCAAATGTTACATAAAAATTTTTTTTTTTCATGATTATCTGCATTTGTGAGAATTCAAAAGACAGAAGATTGCAATATAGGAAAGTATGCATGCCATGCATATGGTATGGTAGTAGCGGTATATGGTATATGTATTGCTGGATGGTATCACCGAAATGTGGTCAGATGTGGGCTTTTACAGATGGGGATGCATCACCTCACTTATTTGTTTTAAACTCAAGATGTTCTGTGTGGGGCAGCTTTGAAACCAACTCCCATTTATTTAGACTTTTTTCAAATTTTTGGGCTTAAATTTGGATATTTTTGAGAAAAACTAAAATTCAATAACAAAACAGCATTAGCGTAATACTATGTACTACTAGTACAATACAGAATGAACTGACATTAATAAACTGTAAATATGTATTTTAACCATTTGTGGAAAGTGCTGGATACAATGTAATCATTTTCACAACTGATCTATCCCTTCAATGCACAACCAAGATGATAAGATTAAGGCATATTAGATCTAAATGCGTCATGTAGGCCGTAGTATCAAATGCATGACTGTCAAGGCTAAGGTACAGGTGAAAGAAATAAAAAAGGACAAAAGCTCTGTGTATCGATGCCTGACTCTTTCAATCCCAGGTGGCTTCACCCTCTGGGCTCTTGTCAGCCAGCCCTGACAGCCACTGAGAGAAAAGAAGAGAAGTGGACCATGACTAAATAATATTCAAAACCTCCCTCCAGTTGCCCACTGTCTCCCCTTTTTTTCTGTTTCATGACATGCCAGGAGTGTGACCACATGGACGTGTAACTCAAGCCAACAGAAACAGTCCAGAACAGCCATGGCAGGTAATTTCACAGCTGAAGCTGAAGCCATCTCAGTAGAGGATGATGGAGAATGTGAATGTGTGTTGCTTAGTGTAAACCGTAGCATAAACCAACCATACGGCTACTCCTTCTCTGAATATGAGACATCTAGGTAGTACTTTTCCTTTTTGATAAAAAAGGAAAAAGAGTTCAGAGTTCAACACTGAAAGCAGAGTTCTTGCAAATCTTGGACAATCTGATATGTGATGCATTCTGGGTAGCATTGTGCTGTACCTTTGACAGGGAGCTCCACAGTTATGTTCATATTACACAGGTGTCCCTGGCAGCAGTCAACTATCTGGTCTGTGGAAGGCGGGGTCTTGCAGGTCATCGTGCTCTGTTCTAAGACCTTAAAGCAGCCTTTTTGGGACATTATGATGCCACCACTGACTGTCAGAGATGAGAAACACTGGTAGCCCAAGCAGCGATTCTGTGTTCCACATGAACCACCCTCGCACACGCACTCATGCTCCTCTTTGCTCAGGGACTTACTCTGGACTACTGTACCTGCAAAAGATTCAGAAAGAAAACTTTTTAAAAAATGCAATGAATTAAGATTATCTTTTGGTTAAAAAACCCCCCCAATCATCCATGAAACTTTTGCACAATCCTAAGTTACACAAGGCCCGCGAAGGAACAGCAGCCAACAGAAATCTGTACAATGTGTACAAAGTCACCTTTCCCTGGGGCTTGCACAGTGACGTTCATGTTACACAGATGGCCCTGGCAGCACTTGACAACATGGGCCGATGAGGGTGGCATGGCACAGGTGGCTTTGCCCTCCTCGTCGTCCCTCAGGCAGCCCTTCTGTTGGACGGCTGCCCCATCAATCATCTTCAGAGCGGAGAAACAGTGCTGGCCTGTGCAGCGATGGCCATGCTCGCACACACCGCCCTCGCATACACACTCTTGGTCTCTGAGGACTGGTCTGCCAGCAGACAGTTGTACATCTGATAAGAGGAAATAGATATGTGGGGAAACCCATTAGACCAATACCATTAGCAACCCATTAAATTAAAAGGCATTCACTCACATCAGAATCATGCACGTTGAAAAGATCCATTTGCTGGACATTCACCAAAGAGAGCAGAAAATGTTTTGCCTGTTTGAATCTAGCATCTCCTGATATAAAACAAATTTTACTATTTTGTTGAAACAACACTTATTCAGGAGGCCTACTCAAACAGACCAGAAAAGATTATTTAAATCTTTGATTTTAGTTGTTGACAAGCACGCACATGGTTCATGGGACAGATCAATTGATTTTCTAGCTTGCGATTTTAAATACATTGTCATTATCAACTGTAAAAGCACACAACAACTAAGCAGCTATACTGTAGAATAATTTCACACACAGGTTTGCATCTCACACACGGCTCTAATAATAATAGCATAAAGCTACTGGAAATTAAACAGACTTTAACAGAGTCCATTAGCTTACTTGAAATTGAATGTGCTGAAGCACAGAGCTTGAACAACAAACAAGAGTTACAACTTTGCACTTGTATAACTTAATAAATTTCAGTTTAAATGCATGTTTACATTTTATGCACCAAAGGGTGTTTATTGCCAGTCAAGTCGAGGGTCTAGGATAAAGAGTGGCATTTGATGTATAAAGAAATACACAACTTGAGCACATTTTTCTGAGTTACAGTATTGAGAAAGATGAATACAAGAGATCTGACTCGACCTTGCTGAGCTTTTTCTTTTTCTGTTCTGAGACTATCATATTCTAGGTAAAATTCTTTGTATGTGTTTGCAGGCATAGCACAGAAAGCTGATTATGTTAGAAAACAAAGTTGTAGTCATGACAGCAGGCAGTGCTGCAGATATACACATTGCTGCAAAAAAAAAAAAAAAGCTACAACCTAGAAACAGCACACAAGATCTTGTGTCCTGCACGATTGCTTGTTGATTATTTTATCCTATTAGGTATTTATGAAGTGTGTTTTCATGATTAGTGTACGAATTCTTGAGTTATGCCCAAAATGTTGTTTTGCTGGATCATGAGAATGGGATGAATGGACCCAAATTCCAAAACACAATGCATCCATTGTCAACTGTTGCCAGTTCAGAGGAAAAAAAGTGGTGTTACAGTCCAAACACTTCTCGTCTGGGTTTCCATCTGTGAATTCCACCAGTACAGCTGTTAGCAAGAGCCCTCTTTTCATTAGTACCTACTTGAATCAACTCGGCACGGTTCACCATGGTTTTTAAGGTTTTCCATTGGGTCATAGTACCTGGTACCAGGTGCTTTTTTAGTACCTGATCAGTCAGGGTTCCAAGCAATCCGAGGTGGTACTAAAATGTGACGTTGTGAGACTGACTTGGCTGGTCGGTAGCGTCACTTGATGAGTCACGAAAGCGCTGTTTACGAAAATTAAAACCACCATTTTTGAAACCTGGCAATGAGGGAAATGGCTACAAAAAAACGATGCCATGATCCCCGAGTCTGACGAAAAGCCAGGTCAAGACAAGCCAGCCAAGACGGAGCAGCAGGTCTATCGGACATGTTGCTATGATGACAACAACACGCATTAGGTAGTACTGGATTGTAATGGAAAACCAGTCAAGCCGAGTTGAGTAGGTAGTAATTGAAAAAAGGGGCTAAGGAGTCAGCTACCACAGACAACTTCCAAATCTGTTGAAAAGGTTGTCCTGAAATTCGATTTCACAAAGTTCTGCAGAGTTTAAAGCAGGACAACTTCAAAATTCTCTTTGCAAATGCCTCACCTTTTAGTGGGAAGTTAAGGGAGATGTTCATATTACACAAATGCCCATAGCAGCACTTCACCACCAGCTGAGGAGTTGGTGTGGATCTGCAGCTCAAGGATCGGTCTTCGTCCCCCAAAATGCAGCCTTTACGAACGACCGATGTCCCGTTTATCACCGCGAGAGAGCTGAAGCACTCCTGGCCAAAGCATCGGTCCCCACTGCTGCAGGATGATCCGTCACATAAACATTCATTTCTCACACCGCCCTCACCTGCAAGAGGAAACAATTAGAAAATCAGGATTTATTTCTGAGAAGACAGAGGTCCCACAGTAGATGAGGGCAGAAATATGACCCTTCATGTTCAATCACAATAAATGATCAATGCTCGCTACTTGTTTGCATGTAGCGATAATACATACTGAAGATGTAGGGAGAAAGTTTTGCTTGCCAGAATAAAGAAAAAATTCTACTGTAATCCGCTGCCACTGCCGTAGTTTAAAATAACACTGACAGACAGCAGATGAAAGGCAGACAGACTGAGGAGGGGTGGTGAAACAGGGGGCAGCATGAATTTTGTTCTATGCATGCAACAAACTTGAGGGGGGAAGGTGAAAGAAACAGAAGTAACACTGCGTATTTTAATTAGCTCACAGGAGGAGGGGGTGTTTCAGATGTCCATAACACAACTTTTCAAGCACTGTACATATTGTTTATTCTCTGGATATCTAGCACGGACACTACACCGAATTGGATCCTGTCTGGTTTTGTCGACAGGAACTTTCCATCCCTTTCGATACCGCTCCTGTTCAGGCCTGACGTAAAAAGCAGCCTTTTGGTTTATTATTAGAGACTTACCTTCTAAGCTTGAACAGGGGAGGACCAGTGGGATCACAACTAACAGAAACATGTCCACACTCGTCATTGTAGACCTGGAGAGGGGGAGGGAAAAAATGAAAACAAAAACAAAATGAACATGGCACTCCAACTATGAAATTGTGATTTTTATCTTTCTGTATCAGCACACTGGTGATATCTTTGTGAAAATTCCTTTCAGAGGACTACTTCATAAGACGGACTGAAAATGGCAGGATTTCCCCATCGAGGTAGGAATATTAGAGTGAGTGATTTTACAGAGGGAGACCTTTTCTTGTTTTCAGGGGGGAAAAGTCAACACCAAGTTTAAAATGCTCAAGTAAAGTGGGTCTCATGCCTTCCTGTTGTCCTGGCAACAAGGCATTGAGTGGCAAGCAATGGGGAGACTGGTGCTCTCCTATTGGCTGCCTCGGTGCGTGAGTGTGTGAGTTTGTGTGTGTGTGTGTGTGCGCGTGTTGGAGGGACAGGCTGCTTGGCAGTGAGGGGAGAGGAGCAGACAGACATGAAGAGGAGGAGGAGGAGGAGAAAGAGAGGAGGACAGTGTGGGTGCCCGAATACTATCGTTTAGAGACCTGGTGACAGTCTAATCGTTCAATATTTAATGCATTTGTAGGAACCGTCACATACGCTGTGCAGTAGTAGGGCTTTTTCCATTTTGGACAGATTTTTTTTGTCACAGTTCACCTGTTTATCTCACACTGCAAACTCCAAAACAACCATTTTATAAAGCTGATATGCAAGTGTTGAGCATACACGTAGCTTAGAGCGTGCCCCGTTTATGCTATACCAAACACCGGGAACGTTTTCTTGGCACCATGTGCGTTTGCGCCTCAGTGCATCTGCGCCGCTGATAAGTACCCCAACCCCTCCAAGCTTTTGTGCCCGTCTCCCAGACATAAATGATTAAGCACGTAATGTTAGCATTAGGCCAACGGCGGCGTCTGCACAGGCCGCTCACACACAGACCACATGCTGCTCCTTTAATCAGAGCACAAAACAGAGGCTGCCACACAGAGATAATCAGGAGCTCTGTCTGCTCCCTTTGGACCGGAGAGGAGAGGGGAACAGCAACGGAGATATGAAGAGCACGGGGCAGGCGGGCACGAGGAGGCAAGGGAGGAACGGCCCAGGGGCAACTCGGGGACAGTGGGTCAGAGAAGGGCAGAGAACGGGGCGAGCGTGCGAGAGAGATGTGGGTCACGGTGGGCCGCAACGATCAGTTAGGCTAAAAGGAGGGAGGTGGCTGAGGGGGGAGCGAGACGAGGAGGTGTCTAGTGTCAGCGCCCAGAGGGACAGTGAGAAGAAGGGCGCCATGCTGTTGGAAGGGTGGGGTAGGTGAAGCGGGGGGACAGGCAGAGCTGTGATGGAGTCAGAAAGCCGGAGGAAACGGGACAAAGAGATAAGCAGAGGTGTAGAAGGCAACAAAAAAAAATAAAAATTAAAGGCCCAGGCCAAATAAAACAGATGCGTGTTCCTCGTTATCTTGATATTTTGACTCATACGACTGGTAAGAAACAAAAAAGACAACATCAAGCACAACATGCTGACTCAAACACTGAACAGATCAATAACTAACCTAAATTAACTAAGTAGAGCATGTCACAAGGCTCTGCTTAATGGCATCAATTAGTGCAGGCAAATGATTTGCTGCATTTTTGTTTATATTTACTGCCAAAACAGCCTCCACGGGGCAATGAAATTATGTCTGTCTCAGTTCATCTCGCCTACTCAAACACTTTGTCTTTAACGAGCTATAAGGAACGAGGCACTCACTGGGTATGTGTGTGCTTCTTGGATAGACGGCAAATATTTTAGTCTGAGTTTTAAAAAAAACTCAGACTAAAATGTGAAGTCCCTGCAAGTTTCAAACAGTACAGTATGCATATGCAGGAATTCAAAGTATACTTTATGCATTAATAGCAATATTTATGTTGCATAAGCACAGTAAACTGTTTCCCACCTATGAATAGGCCATGGCTAGTTGGTAGCATATCATAAACCCAGCTAACAGCTTGGGCTTCATAAACACAGAGCCAGACATGATATTGGAAACCTCAGAAGGCTTTCTTAGGGATGGAAAAGAAGCAGAGCTAGCATCTGCAAAACTGATCTGAGCAGACAATTTTGTCGTACTGTGAATGTGTGTGTGTTGCGTCCCTCTACCCCTGCGTATTGAATTCTCTGGCAGCGTCGTGTAGTGTGTGCTCACAGAGCTGACATCCTGCCAAGGGTGTGCTCTCATTCCCCCACTCTGTCTCAACCCCCATCTTTCTTCTAATTCCCTCTTCCTATGTCCTCTGAAGTTGTGATGTAATAGGAAACTGGTATGAACGCCACATGCTTATTATAACTTAAGATATATTTTCCCCAGTTGCTTATTGTGGTTGGAGCCAATATTGTAATAAGCCTTACAATACTATAAGGCAGAGGGAAATGCTACGAGCTTGAGAAAGCTGCCCTGATTTTGATATGCATTAAAATACTTTGAGGAAAATAATGTTATATGTGCATTCCTTCTCTTTGCCTTCCTTGAAAGTGAAATGTCAGTTTGCATTGGATGCCAGTTATTATGCTCTGAGCTCCTCTGTTCCAGTGGTAAAATTTGACTCAAGTATGCTACAAAGAAAAGGTTGAGCTGCTTGTACTTTCGTTATACAGTAACTTTGCATTTCATTTTCTGAGGCACATTCAGGTGGTAATACAGTCATTCTAAATGGAGGAGACGTTCCTTCTTTCAGTAAAGTACAGAATAGAAATACTTTTTCCACCAAAGACGTTCTTTACGAGGGCTTCAGATTCTCTGCTTAGGTACCAACATTTAGCTTAACACAAACAAGCCCTTGTGTGTACAATCTAAGATAAACACCTGAAATAGACATGGCTCAGCGAGAAGTATGTTAGGGTAGACTGCTGCCAAGCACTACTAGAAAAACTTGAAAGTGATCCTGCATGTCGCCGCTGCCATTTTATGATGCCACAATTCCTTCCCAGACTCTTTCCAGTGATCTCACTCCAGAGGGCCATCTTGATAAGCATTACTCTAAGAAGTTGAGCGGAGCTTAAAGTGATTAGATAGAGATAATTAAACATGCTACTCACATGCTGTTACTGGTGCAACTGGACCAAAAGGCATGCATAGTGGGGAATATAATTATTTGATCACCTGCTGAATTTGTAATTTTGCGCACTTACAAAGAAATTAACAGTCTCTAATTTTTTTTGTAGTTTCTTTTTAATGGAGAGAGACTGAATGTCAGCCAAAAAAAATCAAGAAAAAAACCCATTACAAAAAAAAATTATAAAATTGATTTGCATGTTATTAAATGCAGTAAGTATTTGATCCCCTACAATCGAGCCAGAATTCTGGCCGCCACAGATTCTGGTTTCACACATGTGGCACACAAATTACAATCCATCAACTACAGACACTCCTGATCTCATGTCCTGATGTGTATAAAGCACATCTATCAACAGCAAAAATTTCTTTCATTCCAACCTCTCCATCACTGTGGACAAGCCCAAAGAGCTGTCCAAAGGCTAGAATGGGCTACCAGAACAAATGCAAAAACTTTGGTGAGAAGGTGACAAACCCTTGGTGCAATTATGAATGAAATATAATAAATAATATAAAATGACCACCAATCAGCCTGGATCTTAAGCTCCATGCAAGATCTTGACTCATGGGGTGAGGATAATCAAGAGTAAGGTGGCGGAAAACCCAAAAATTAATATTAGGACACACTAAGTTGTAACAGGGACAAAAGTCTTTCAGCATCACCATCTTACGTTTGCCAAGAAAGGTCTAAATGATTCGGAGATGCTTGGGAGAAAGTGCTGTGGTCAAATGAAACCAAAAATCAAGCTTTCTACCCGCCATGTTTGGAGGAAGAGAAATGCCGAGTATGACCCAAAGAACAAGTGGAAACAAAAGCATAGCGTCTGGACTTCTCGGATAAGACGTGAAACGTCTTCAAGCAACTTCAAGAAATCCAGACACTTTTCTTTCCAAGCTCCTTAGACTACGATGACCTGGATGACTGAGAACCTTCACAGATACAACATGTGGAAACATTATGTTTTGGGGCTGTTTTACTGCTAAGGTTACAAGACAAGTTCAAAACGTCACGGGGCATATAGACACAAAAAAGCTACAATAAAAGTTGGGACGAGAACCTCATTCCGTCAGCCAGAACACTGAAGATGGGTCATGGATGGGTCTTCCAATGACCCCATAACATACAACCAAGTCAACAAAGGACTGGTTAAAGAATACGCTTGTTAAGGTCAGGGAATGGCCTAGCCAGTCTCCAGACTTCAATCCTCTAGAAAGTCTGTGGAAGGAGCTGAAACTTTGAGTTACCAAGTGGTAACCAAGAAACCTAAAGGATTTTGTGAGTTTCTGTAAAATCCGTTTTAAAACGTGTGCAAAACCTGGTGGCCGACTACTAGAAACATCATACTCCTGTGCTTGCCCACAAAGGTTTCTCCACCAAGTACTAATTAATGTTTTGGTTGGGGGATCAAATACTTATTTCACTCAATGACATGTAAATCAATGTGATTTGTAATGCAAATCAGCAGAGGATTAAATAATTATTTCTCCCACTGTAGGCAGCTGTGATTTTAACCATTTGAGGAATTTTCTGCTTACGAGACATTAAGTATGATTAAAGCCAACATGTTATTGCCACAATAATTTATAGCTGACATTTTAAAAGTGATACAAGACACATATTAATCTAGTTGGACGCTTTATTATTTGGGTCTGTTTTGTATTCAGGTCAGCTAAAGAGGAGGATGACAAAACACTACTTTGTCTGATGAGCATGGTGTATCACCGAGGTTGAGGAGGGAGGAGGCTGAAGCCCTGCAGGAGCTGCTGAGTCATCATGCTGGCAAAGAGGGAGACGAGAGGTGGAATCTGTGTCTGAGCTGGCAGGCTGGCACAGTTACCATGGCACAAATAGCCTGGGCACCGAGGAAACTGCAGCAAACTGCAGGGTGGCGAGAGAAGAAACAGGCAGAGACTAGGGCAATGCAGATCCTGCTGTTCGTG